TTTGTTATGTTTTAGACTGGGGATCCATCTGAGTTTATTGATGACTTATTCATAAAAATAAAAGAGTAAGTAATTTAAAATATACAAAGTTACTTTAATTACAAAAGAGTAGAGGCCCACTTTAGAAAATGCACCGGAACATGGGCTAGAACCAACAGAAGTTGATTTTGAATTTGAGAATTCTTGACAAGACTCACACCTCTAAAATAGAACATCTTTGTTTTTGGTTCTTTATTACATTTCTCTACATAATAGTCAATGACAGGACATAAAGATTACATCAGAATTTAATCAGGAAAGCAGAACCCTGTAAATGATATGCAATAAGGGATTTGTTATAGGGATTAGCTCTTCTCCAATTGTAGGAGAAATTGGCAAGGTAACTTCAGAAGGAGACAGTTGGCTGAGCAGAGGAAAGGCCCTCGCTAATAGCCAGGATAGGAAGTTGGTTAAGGAGTCTATGGAAAGCCCTTGCCTCTGCATCAGAGCCGGCCCTGGAAGGAGTATGTCAGCAGAACAGGTGCTTGAAAGGAAAGCTGGATGCAAAACGAGAGAGAACAAAACAAGCCAGAAGAGAAAATTAGAACCTATGGAGATGAACTGGCAAGTATATCTGTCTTTTATGGCATCATGTCCAAAGCTGTGATGCCCTGGAGCTGGTGCCCTTGTTGCGGACCTCCATGTGTTCCCAGTCCAGGCCTCAGCCCATGGCAGGGAGTCATCAGGAGCCAGAGAAGCTATGGGTTCAGCTCTACCCCATGCTGTGATGATGCAGGACAACATGCAGGACCTTCCCAAAGGCCTACACCCACCTTTCTGGTGCAACAGCTGCAGCTGTACCTGTACCCTGTGCACCTCTATGGCCATAACCCAGAATGAATCAGAGAAATGTGGGTCTATCTTAACTAAGTTGACGTAGGCAAAACTGAAGTATAGAAAAGAAAGACACTTATGATGATCCAATCATTTCTTTATTAACATGTAAAAACTGGAGTCCAGAGAGGTGATGGCTTTCCCAAGGTCACAAAACTAGTAACAGGCCAACAAACTCAATTGTCTGTGTCTCTATTAAAGAGATAAGTCAGTATCTGAATAATGGATGTGAAGACAAGACCATAAGTAGTTTTTTTCCCACTAATTAATTGCTTAGCTGTGGGAAAAACACTCACTCAATTTTTAGATTCCTGTTTTCCAGCAAGTGAATGGCATGTGGGCTAGTGCCAACAAATTGAAGGTACTCACTTAATATCTGATAAATAAAGGAATAAATGGGTCTCTCAAGAACCACTATTACACAAAATTATGCTACTGCCTAATATATATATAAAAAAATTGAAACCACACTCCTGAGCCTCAATAGTGAAGCCTTCTTACAGGTTCTCCTGAAATTTATCTGGGCTAGAATGGATCACCTGGGCCCTTCCTCCTTTGCACAAGTCAAATTTCCAATCCCCTAGCCATGTAACAATTAGATTTTTCATATTCTTCTTGTCATTCCACTGTGGCTTTTACTTGATTTATTCACTCTGAGCTTTTCAACAGAAGTCAATTACTACATTATAAAAGCAAGAGACTCCAAAAAAATGGGAATAGGGAGAAGTTGAAAGAATATAAAATTTTTAGTTGTATAGCTCCATGTTTTGCACATGAATTTTCAATCAGCATTTAGTAGGAATGGCTCATCTTTGCTCCATGTGCCATTAGCTGGGGTAGCTCAGAAGCCTGAAGTTGAAATCACCTCTAGGCTACCCACTTTCAGCTAGTCCTGTTGGCCAGAACAGCTGCATGTAGATTCCCCACGTGTGCTCTCCATATCCTCATGGCATGAAGGTTGGGTAGAAGAGACACCACCCAAGAGGACCGCAAAGAAACTATATCGCCTTTTACAAAGTGGATTTCAAAAATCACATGACAATGTTTCTGTCATAGTCACAGGCCTCTTAGGTTTAAGCAGAAGAAATATAGATTCTGCCTCTCAATGAGAAGAGTATCATTGTTATATTGAAGAAGAGCTATGGGAGAGATGGCCCACTGCAGGCTGCCTTAGAGAACACAATCTGCCACAAACTGAGATCAATACCTATGGTGAGATTATAAACATAGAATTTGTCAACTGAATGAGCTCCTGTTCAACAATAACTCCAGAGAATATCATACATACATAAACACTTGCAGAATGAGGTTAATTCTTGGATTCAACTTGCTTCCAAGCTATTTTCAGTGTTGCATCAAAAGGTAAGGGCAAGAAACTGGGCCCTTCAATTATTTAAATAAAAGTGTTTCATCTTCATCATCAATTTTTTTTTCTGGGAAAATATATTAGGCTGCTAGAATTTGAACCCAAACCATTTCCATGGTAACAAAGCTTAAAATACTAAAAGGCAATTAGAATTTCTTATAATATTTAAAAAATTTGTATGGTCTATACAAGATTTTAAAAGTGCACCTAGCAAAGACTAGCATAGACACGCCACATACAAATGCAAACTCACATATATACTCATTCACGTATTTATTCATACAAGGGATATGCAGGTTCAAAATTCCATAATTTATATTAACTGTTCTTAAATATAGGGGGAAATGAGACTGTTTAGCTTGGAAAAATTTTCTCATGTTGATTTTTGATCAGTCAGGTGACTTTAGAAATAATCTGGCCATTTGAAGCCTGAAGAAAAAACTCAACCATCATAGGTATAGAAATGAGCATAATTATGGTCTTTGGAAAATCCAGGTAGTTCCATGTGATTTGGGAGTAGTTTGTATCTAAGGAAAAGTAATGAGGCTTAACATGATCTTATTTTTAATTTCTAGACCTTTGAATATGAAGTATTTCAAATATACTGAAAAGTATAGGGTATATTTTTGTACCTGCTCCCATAATTAATAGCTATTATCCATTTGCCATAATTTCTCAAATCTGTCCTCTTTCTACATAAATAAAATATTAACTATCCAGTTAAATCCCTACCACTACCACCTGCCACTTCCATTACCGTTACCTTTCTTCCTTTCCTGGAAATCATCGTCCTGTTGTGTGTGACATTCCTTTGTATGTTTCCATGCATTAGTGCTGCTAAAAAATAAATTGAAGTTGAAGAGTTTGTCTGAGCAGACAGCAAGTCATGAATTGGGCAGCTTCAGACTTTAGGTGGCTTGAGGGTCCCACCAAAGGGATGTGAACAGCTTCAATAGTGTGAATGTGAAAGAAAGGTGGAGAAAATATTTGGTTGGTTAAAGTGGGTCATATTTGGGTCATCTTAGTGGAAATCCTCTAGTTAAAGATTACTTGGAAGTTTCTGATTTCACCAGAGCTCATTTTACTATTTATGCTAAGTTCATTTACAAAGAATTCCAGGACCATGGAGCCATCTTGGCCAAATGGGCATACAATTAACCATTTTAACAACACTTATTAATGGATTCCCCATACTGCTGTATCTTTATGTTTTAAAAACCTGTATGGACTATATCATAGAGTATGTGTTCTTTGCATCTCATTCCTACTACTTAACATTCTGATTTTGAGCTTTAGCCATAGGATGTAAATATACTATGAGGAGAGTGGATATGAGCATCAATTATTGCACAGAGTCAATCATTTATTCAACTAAATTTATAGTTCACCTGGAGAATGAGTTGACAATAACAGTTTTTGCATTTGCAGAAAGCATTAATGTTATTCAGTCAGGACCAGACATCAGGGAAAAGATGATATGTTTATTTGCACCATAGTCCTTCCATTTCTGAAGACCAAGTGCTTTCTCTCATATTCTCTCCTACGTGGGCAGTTATGGGGACTGCATGGTCTTTGATAATTACAGAGTGGAAGTCCAGTAAGTGCCAGGAGGTGCCCTAGATGAGATCTAGACTTGTGCAGAGATTAGGGAGCCAAGTCTCTGGGCATCCATCAGGCAACCCTGGTGATTCCTGATGTTCCAATCCCCACTTCTCACCTCTTGTAGCTGGTCTTTCCTGCTGGGAACTATCATACTAGCAAGATCTGCATTGCACAGGCTGGGAAGTCTGAGGGGTTGGGTGGAGGACATCTATCTGCATTCCCTATTGTCATGTCACTTGTATACCCTACTTCCTTTTCATGCTACCATGAGAAAATGGCTCATTTGATGTTCTATTCAATTTCTCATTTGAGGTTTTATAGATGGAGTACTTTTTTAACTGCTTTCACATTGTTAAAATAAAGGAGCTAAAGGGGTATTTATTTTCAGGACATAAAATTGAGTTGCTGATTTAATATCAGATATATGCAAGCTATTATGTACATTCCATCTCTCTTCTCTGTTTACCATATTGCTCTCTGAATGTTTCAGAGAAATTCCTTACACACAGAAGCTCTCTCAAAGCAGAAAAATAAAGGATGAGCACACACATTTTACTTTTGGTGTGGTATTACTTATTTAGTACTATCTACCAAATTAAATGTTATATTGACCTTGTGTCAGTGTCAACTAGTTATATTTTATTTCTGTTGCATTTCCAAATATGTTGAGCTAAAAACAAGTGACTTGATGCAAATTAAACTGCATGGAAGCTTGTTAGTTCAAATACTAACATGGTTGATAAATATATTTGTCTAACATGAGTAGGACAGAGAGCTCTTTGTTTATTGACATACTTTATTATCACTCTGCTGTACATCTCTCACGTGGCTGTTTTATAGGACATAAAGTCTGGGTATCCTGTCAGAATCTCAGATCTTATTTATAGCTTGCTGCAAAGTGGCTTATTGTCATTTATTATTTCTTATTTGATTTATATAACATCTTTCCACCAAAGAGCCTACAGGTTTATGTATATAGAGAGTGCACAAACAAGTTCAGACACACACACACTTGAAACTCAATGCTCTGATGTAGTTACTAGTATGATACCAAAAATACATAGATGTCTCTATTTGTTTTTGTTCTAAGACCATGTTCTGGGGAGGCAATTACCATACTTTCTTTCACTTTGAGTATTTATTGTTTGCCTCTAGGTGGATCGGATCATCTTCTGTGTCTTCTTAGAAATCGACTTCAAAATCTACAAAAAGAAAATGAGTGAAGTTTTCCCTGTAGGTGAGTAAAGCGATTTGTTGTTTCCTTCAGAATTGAGGATTGAAGAAGTGGAGACTTCACCTGTACTTCTATTTTGTTTCACGTCATTAGGACTGTTACAGATGTGGTTCCCACTCCCAGGTGTCGCCACCAGCTGGCATCATAGTTTCTAAGAACTGAATGAGGTGGAGGAAGTCTGAGCTCGATAACTCGCAGCCCCACAAGGTTACACTGTTGTCTTAGGGAAGTTAGGTCCCTTCTCAGGTCTCAGTCCCTCACACCTAAAGTGAGGGGCTAATTAAATAACTTCTAAAGGACATTCCCTGGCCCTAAATTACCGCATCTTCTGTCTCCAACCTATAAGTTTATAATCTACCTACGTCTCCAGCCCACATGTACCATGTTAAACACCTTTGTTGGAAGTCTTAAGGAGCCCACTTAACATTTGCAGTCAGAATTCCATCTATTTCTGAATTCCATCCTTATTCCTCCCCAATTTTCTCGCCCCAGATTGCAGTGACTATAGTAGCACTTTCTAGGGCAATCTGAGAATGGTACTCATTTCACACTTCTTTTTAGAATGTCGGAGAAACCTCAGGGTTGTTAAAGAACCTTGAGTAATGGATTTTCATCGATTGACTGTGCCATTAGTTGGATTTGGGCAATTTGAATATTTCCCTTCACCCTCCCTCTACCAGCCTATTAAGGCAGAGGCTTGTTTAATGCCTTGTTATATTTATGGTGCCATTAAAGTCACAGTGTCCAAAGTGCTTTCCTTGGCTATGGCTGGAATTGCTTCCTAGAAATTTCAAGCTACTATGAGCATTGTTGGCGTTTGCCTTTCAGAAAGCTTTCTTTTAAGGTTTCCATCTCCATTCAAAGTAGTTTTTGCTTAGCAGGAGATTCTGGCAGGTGGGTGGAGTGAAGGATGGGTGCTGGTACACATTCTTCCATTTAAACAGCTTGTGACAGGCAACAATAAGAAGGATGCCCAGCCCAAAGGTCAGAGTAGGGTGTGGGTAGCTGTCCAGAAGAGATGGTCAACAGTCAGGGGTGTCCAACCTGCAGCTGGCAGGCTGCCAGTGGATTGTGTGAGGACTGTTTTGCTTCTCTGTGGTGTCAGACATTGCGAAAATTATGCACAAACCTATTTTATTGCCCATCAGACTTCATTAGTGTTCATGTATTTAATGTGTGGCCCAAGACAAGTCATCTTCTTTCAATGTGTGGCACAAAATAAGAAAGGCTGACTCCCCCCCACACACGTGCAATTTGAAGTTCTTTCTAATTTGAGATTTGAAAGGTGAATCCACTAAATATGTTTAATTTGGACTCTAACTAATGTATCCCTCTCACTGAAACATAATGTAAATTCCTGAGAGACGCCCATGTGTTGAAGAACAAGATTGTGGTTATAGTGTTTTTGTTCTTGGCTCCTTTTTCTTCCAGGGTCTTTTCTTCTTTCTTCTTTTTTTACCTTTCCTATTTTTTTAAAGCGCTCAGTGTTTTTTGTTTTTGTTTGTTTTTTTTTTTTTTTTACAGAGTATAGAGCACATAATAGCTATTTAATAAGCAGTTACTGAAATAAGTTGAATTAAATAAATTCTTGCCACCATAATCTGATGACCTTTTTTATTTCAATCTTCTTGTTCCATCTTTTCTCTTGTTTTCTTCTATAATCACAGTGATTTATGCATGGTTAGGTTCAGACGTGTTAAGTATTATTAAAAGGTAGTGTTTATTATGTAAAGAATGTGGCTTGTTATGATGAGTAAAGCAAATATTCTCATGTCTTGTCAATATTACAGCATAATGTATAAGATTTTTATAAATTTTAGACTCCATGAGATGTTTAGAAATAATGACATCACATTCATTTTTACATCTTCTAAAATAAAAACTTGTTTTTACTCCAACATATGATAAAAAATAATTGCATAATTACAATCTGTTGGTATTGAAACAAATCTATCAGCAGATATTTGATGCAGAGTCAAACAACACACCACAAATTAAAAAAAAAGAGGCATTTTTAGGAGTCTGGAGTATATTAAAAACCATGCAAATAAATTATTGGTTGAAAAATTGCTACTTTAAATAAATTTGAAAATGCACCTCGGTACTTGAGCAAGTGAAATTATAATAAAATCATCCTCAGTCTCAATCAATGCATTGAAACTTATTGTGTTCATGAAATTATTTTCTGTGCATATTTATAATAGTAGGTAAATTTTACATTAAATGTCAAAATCCTCAAAAATTGTGGAGTATTTCTGCAACATTGAGGCATCAGCCATTTGTAAATTCTAAATACACAATATGAAATAAAGGTGATGTCTAATAGAGTATGTGACTGCTAATATGGATGATACATATTATCTGTCCTTAATTTGAATTTATGGTTAATTCATAACCATACTATCTGTGATTAGAAAATAATTTTTCTGACTTGCCATATATTTCCCCAGACTAACTTATTCAGAATATCTCCAACTAGTATTCATAACTAGTATTCATAATCATATTATTCATGACAATAGCTTAGAAAAAAGTCATTTTTAGGCAGGGTGTGATGCTCATGCCTGTAATCCTATACTTGATGAAGGCAAGGTTGGAAGATCCCTTGAGGTTAGGAGTTTAAAACTAGCCTGGGAAAAATAGTGAGACTTTCTTTAAAAAAAAAAAAATTGAGAAAACTTAGCTAGGTATGGTGGCACACATTTCTAGTCCAACTACTTAGAGGCCAAGGCAGGAAGATCACTGGAGCCCAGGAGTCTGAAGCTATGTGAGCTATGATTGAGCCTCTGTACTTCAGCCTGGGCAACAGAGTGAGACCCCTGTCTTTTTTTTCAAAAAAAGTCATTTTTATATTAAACCAAATTTCTGTTTAGGGGTACTTTAATCTCATGTCTGTAACTTTTATAATTAGAATCTGAGGTAAAATTAATGAGAAAACAAAAATTAGACTAAAAAGATGATACTAAAGAAATGAAATTGTAACTATCTAATATTAATAATATTTCAATAATAACTAATATCAAAACAGTGAATAGAATTGATACATTATATAATGATAATATAACTAATATTAATAATAATTTATAATAATTCAAAGATTTTTGAATTGCCTTCTCTCAGACTTACTATTCATTTCTTTATATACATTAAATCAATTAGTCTCCATGATAATTCTGAGAAAGTAGGCATCATATTAATCCACTGTTGTAATTTCTATTGTTATGGTATCTTTCTAATTTGATCCTGATCTCTTGAGAATGGCCATATAACAAGGTATATGTCTAGGAGAGTTCTGACCAGGGAGTACATGTAGGGAAGAGAAAAGTTAAGTTCAGATGTGTTTGTCAGGTGAGACACAATGAAGACGTGAAGCTGGAACTCATAAAACAGAAGAAATTTAGTACTCACGGGTCCCAAAGGAGTTAGGCATGCCCTCAGGAGGTTAACATAAAGTCTGGAGGTAGCAGGGAGCTCAACCACTAAGTGGGACGTGAGAAAAAGAGGACATGCCTTATTAGGATTCAAGTACTTATCCCCTAGGTTTCTCCATGAGGCTTGTAGATGGGCTAGTTTAAGGAAAACAATCCTATTTACATGACCCTGGTGCTGAGCCACTGATTGTACTGTGGTCGGCAGGATAAGGAACAAGTAGAATATATCACAGCCACACAAGGAGGGGGAGTTTTAAGTAGGCCAGAGGTGATGGGATACAAGTGGGAGTCAAATTTAGGCCTAAATATGGATGCCAAGGCAGCAACTGTATTAGACAAATCTGACACCCTACTTTTAGATATGGAAAATGAGGCATACAGCTGGGAAACAACAGAACTCTATTGTAAAATTGAGAATGGCACCTGTCTTGCTGAAGTGATAATAGGTCAGTTTTCTTAGAGCATCTTCAGGGAAGGTTGAGGTCAACTGCTAGGATGCATTTGGAGACTGACAAAGACCCATTTCGAATGTCATCTGCTGCCCATGATTTTTTAGAGCTGCCATGCTTCTCTATCTTCTAAAGGCTAAAAATGTCCTCATGGAAACTTTTCTAATATGAGTCAAATTAGTACTCTATCACTGATCTCAAAGTCAAATTCCATCCAAGTCACCTGTGCAGCATAGTGCTATTACCTGCAGATGACCAGGTATGTGGTAAGGAAACAACCAGAGGCCTCACAGCATGACTGTAGGAGAAGATGGAGAATCAAATCGTCTATGTTACTTTGTTGGGGCTGTAAAAACAAAGTACCACAGAGTGAATGGCTTAACAAAAATGTGTTTTCTGACAATTCTGCAGGCTAGAAGTTCAAGGTCAGGTGTTGGCAGGGTTAGTTTCTTCTGAGGCCTTGCTCCTTGGCTTACAGATGACTCTCTATGATATTCTCTCTGAGTTGTCTGTGTTCTTTCTCTTTTTATAAAGACACAAATCATATTGGATTGAGACCCACTCTAATCTTATTTTAATTTAATTACTGCTTAAAAGCCCTATCTCCAAACACAGTCACATTCTGAGGTACTGGGGTTAGGACTTTAGAAATCTAAGTATTTGGTGGGACACAGTTCAGCCCATAACAATGTCCATCATGGATGTGCAGTAGGAACTTCCAAGGAAAGAAATCAGCAGCAATGTTTTTTGTTTGTTTGTTTGTTTTGTTTTTTGCGATTTTTGGCCAGGGCTGGGTTTGAACCCACCACCTCTGGCATATGGGGCCAGCACCCTATTCCTTTGAGCCACAGGCACTGCCCAACAGCAGCAATGTTTTTTCCAATGGTTTTATATCTTGCTGCGGGGTGGAGCACATTTGACATTTTCCTTCCAGATGTATTATTTGGTAGTAAAATGTGGCGGCTTTATGCAATTGTCACACACTTAGGTTGCAAATAATTTATGGTTACAGTGCACCACTTACATGGCCTACAGCAAGTAATATGTGTGTGATACGACTCAGCAATCTTTGCTCTTTACATAAAAGGATTGTAATTTTTAGTTTGTAGAATTTATTGCACAG